AAATCAACGATGGTTCTTGGTTCACCGCAGCGGAACTAATGATCATCTTCCTCAAGATGCACGACATTGCCAACACTATCAAAAACAAATCCGACCAGCTCCAAGCTGTGGCTACCTTCATGCTCAGTTATGGACCGTGAGCTCATCAAAATCGCAAACTGGAACGCTTGCTCGCTCAAAAGGAAAATTATCGAGTTCATTGACTTCCTGAACGAACCGGAAATGAACGTATTTATTCCTGTAATCCGGTTCGTGAGGCTAGATTGGACAAGCTCTGGAGGTAGTGGAGTGGCCATCACTACCAGGAACAACATCTGCTGCTGGTTGCTACCCAGTTTCCAGCTGAAAATGGTTGAAGCATTGCGAGTGGAAGTCTTCACACCCGTCGGCCCCGTCACCATCATTGCAGCCTACTGCCCGAAACAAGCAAACGCCAGGGATGGATCCACGGCAGACCTGCGGAGGGATATTGTCAAGATAACACGATGCCGTCAAGCTTGGGGCAACCAAAAGCGGAATCAAAACGGCACGACGACCTGCAAGAGGCTCACTATATCATCCTGGGGCCAGAACCTCCCACCCGGCTGAGTCGGACCCACCAGTAGCTGAGTTTGGACCACTATCCAGTGGTGGCCGAAGTGGGCTCATCCATCAACCGATTCCAAGCTTCCCGACGCTACTATCATCGTGTCAGTTGGGATCAGTTCCAACACTGTGTCGACTCCACTGTCGACTACGGTGTCCTTCCGGAGAGACACGAAGACGTTGATCGGTGTCTGCATTCCATCGAGGAGGCGATATCCCGGGCCAGGGAACAACACGTGCCAGTATCCAGACAGGTGAGCAATACTCTTAACCTTGACAGATCTACCAAAGCCCTTATAAGGCTCCGTAACACCATCCGAAGGCAGTACCAGCGCTCTGGTCTGCCTGTCCTTAAGACCCACTGTAATCGCCTAACAAAAAGCATCCAAGCCAGGATGGTGGGCCTCAGAAACCAGGACTTTGCTAACAGGCTCCGCTCTCTCCAAGATTGTGCAAAGCCCCTTTGGAAACTAACCAACTTTCTTAAAAATAAGCCAAGACCCATTCCACCACTGACCCCACTGGATTGCTACGGCAACTCAGTGGTTCATCTGATAACTCCTAACACTTCATCAGCTCCCATAATCTCGGACAAAACATCGTCAGACCTCACGAAGCTGAGGTTGCTGAAAACGCAACCAACCTCCATCAGATTCCCAATATTTTTCCGAGGAAGCCGAGATTACGGCTGACGAACTGTTGGCCTATATCAAATCATCTAAAAATATGAAGGCCCCAGGTTTCGACAACATCCTGACTCTGGAACTCAAACACTTGAGTTCCGGATTCTACAACCATCTGGCACTGAATTTTAATCTGTGCCTCTGACTTGGCAACTTCCCCTCGTGCTGGCAGTCAGCTAAAGTCATAACCATCCGGAAACCTGGGAAGGATTCATCCTCTCCTTCAAGTTATCGACCAATCAGCCTTCTCTCAGGGTTATCAAAACTGTTCGAAAGAGCTGTCTACCACCGGCTCCTAACATCTGCCGAAGAAAACATCTTGTTACTCGAGGAATAGTTTGGTTTTCGGAAAGGTCGTTCGACCGTCCACCAGCTGACTCGAGTAACAAACATTCTCAGACGGAACAAGTCTGTTTCGAAAACAGCTGCCCCATGGCAGTTGTTGAACGTTGAAAAAGCGTTCGAAAATTTCTGGCATAATGGCCTGGTCTTCCAATCTTCCTAGTTAAGATAATTAACAACTATCTATCGAACAGGACGTTCCGAGTATCTCTGAATGGCATCACATCGGATGCTTTCAACATCGGTGCTGGGGTTCCACAAGGAAGCATCCTTGGTCCCATTCTATTCAACCTGTTCACCTCCGATATGCTGGCTCTCCCTGATGGTGGATAGTTGTCTCTGTTCACAGATGACACATCCATCGTCTACGGAGCTCTGACTGCCAAACTTCAGAGAGGCCTGGACCTGGACCTGAATATTTCAACAGTTGGAAGATCCGTATCAACGCGGCAAAGACCCAGGTCCTCATCTTTCCACACTCTAAATCTCCCAGACTTGTTCCGTCGGAGAATAACAAGATCTGCCTGAACGGCACAGTGGTGGAATGGTCGAAAGAGGTAGTCTACCTAGGCCTAACATTAGACAGCAAGCTGATTTTCAGGGAGCATGTTGACAGAACCAAAACCAAGTGTACCATCTTGATAAGATCACTGTATTCACTCATCAACAGGAGGTCTACTTTATCCCTGAAAAATAAGCTTGCTGTCTACAAACAAATAATCCTTCCCGTAATAGAATACGGGATGCCAATCTGGGAGAGTTGTGCCAACTGCCATCACCTTAAACTCCAAAGAATCCAGAACGAGATCCTTAGGATGGTCCTAAACAGTCCTCCGCGGACTAGAAATTCTGAGTTCCACCTCCTGGCTGGAATTAAGACATTAGAAGAACGGAGAGTATTCATCCTGGAAAGGTTCAAAGACACCTGTCTGAGATCAAATCATCAGATCATACGTGATCTAGCACGTTAGGTTAAGTTATACTCGTAGTTAGGTAGTTTTTCACTTTTTTCAATTCAAATAAAACAAATGCCCAAAGGGGTATTCTGTAAACTAGTTGAAAAACGCAAATATTAAATTAGAATATCAAATTAAACAAAGATGAAGAGCCAGATAGGCTAATCAATTAATATGATAAATCAATGTACTACCATTTTCAACAGAAATAAAAATAATTTACTACTACTGCCTCATCTCATTTTCGCTTCGGACGGCGAGTGAACAGGTAGTAGCAGCAGCAGCAGCAGTAAGAAGGCAGCGGTTCCTGTCGAGATCACTGGCTGCTGGCTACGAGCCCCGTCGCCTCGATGGCACAAGCACTCTGAAGTGAATCAACCTCGCCTGAGGGAAATATACAATACACGGCATTCACCCCGACGTCCAATTTGTAGTGAAAACTTAACTGCGAAGAGCATGGAAATCGGAAGTGGTTATCACAGTAGGGGGAATCTTTTCTTTCTTGGCATTAAGCTGGGAAAAGTTTATTAGAATTTTTCCTGGATGATGGATCATTCTCATCATCCGTGAGCAAATCAAATTGATTGCTCAAATTAATTTCATCAGAAGGGGGATCAAGAGGTTGCCCTTTTCTTTTGCGCTTAGACAGTAAATTTTTATCCAAATCGACTTCCAAGCAGATTACTATTATTATTTGGAATTTTCCAAATCGATATCCAAGAAGGATTACCTCGGGTAGGGTCCAAACAAGGATCGAAGAAGAATAAGAGTCAAACAAGGTAGAAAATTTACGGGTATATTGAGCACTGAAAAGTGCTGTTTAAATTTGTTGTACCTTTAGGTAGTCGTAACACTTCCTTCAGCAAATAGATCCGCATGGCAAGAGAGCACGATGCGGACTCATTTCGATCAATGTTGGTTTCCCCAAATGCACTGCGTCCAGAAAATCACCTCGAAATGGTTTTATACAAAAATATGCATGCTGTAAAAATTTGCTTGTACTGCAAGAACTGCCATTACATTTGTTGTATGAAACATAAGCAGAGGGTGTAATAAATCCAACCATACATTGTATGCCAGAGAAATTTGTTTTCTAGATCTTCAAGATTGCAACTGGCATCAAATAATGCACTCGACAATCAACTTGACTTCCATTTTATCCCCACTAGAAAACGGGACAGCTACGTGTCATCGATAATAATCATCACTTCGTCGTCTCTTGCCGAACATGCCAACAAGTTAATGCTAATTTCAATTGAACTCCATCCCAAAGTGGAACGTGACTCTCGCTCCAAAAGCTATCGATCCCTTTCAATAGTTTAACTTCTTCTGTGAATGTGTGTCGCCTTGCAAATTGGATTAAAAACTAAATTCGATTCAAAATATCTCAGCTAGAGGAGGATTGCCATGATAATGAAAGTGATGATGACAATGATGGCATCCTGAATCATGCATGACTCGCACCGGAAAACGGGAGCTCCTTTCATCGCATCAGAAATTTAATCACATTTATCACTAGACACTTGGTCGGTAATTAACTTTCAGGAAAGGGTTCTCCCATGTGGAATGACATATTCGATAAATTGGATATCTCTTTGCTAAATTGGAAAAGAAGACGGTGTTGTAACATGATTTCAGTGCTCTCTTAATTAGAATTAGGTGCTTAATGCTTTTCATTACTGCACTGTTGCCATCGATGTCGTTTGAAGTCTCGAGGACGATTGCGAGAAATTCAGAGGCCTAATCCCATTTATTACGGGAAAGCTGAAACATTAAGGACTCTCCTGAAAGCACTATTCACATACCTTTATACCATGCTTGGATTGAAAATTATCTCAGGGTAAATTGACTAAACATTAACATACCTGCCAGAAGCTCATTTCCGCGGCAATACTTCTTCATTACACCACCTTTCGCATTCGCTAACACATGCACACACAGGACAGGGGCCTATGTAGTTTCCCGTTAGCATAATTTCATACTGTTCATGCTTTTCCACTCGCTGCCCCCATCTATCGTCCTACTGGTCCAGATTCCATGTAGACGGTGAGGTGCGAAAATGGTATCATTATCCCATAATTCCTTTTCACAAGAGCGCCTGGAAGCACTTTTGCCCCCCAGAGTCGTTTAATCCGCTTTCTAGATGCTCTTGTTTCGAACCATTCTTGAACACCACAAGCCACAAGACGAGGGTGTTGGCTCACTCGCGGGAGTCGAAAGGTATGTCTCCATCTCCATAGCATATGTTTATTAGGCGAGGCGCAGATTAAGACGGGTGCTTGAAGCTATTTTCCTTAAATTAGACAAAGTGTAATTTGTATGACATTGGTGGGGCTTGGCTTTGGCTTGATGAGGAAAAAAAAAGAAGACCTGTTTAAAATTTTGAATTTAAATAAACCACGCACAGCTTGAGAAGAGCTGAATCATTACCCTGATGGGTGTTAGGCCGAAGGACGGTAGGCCGAAGGACGGTAGGCCGAAGGACGGTAGGCCGAAGGACGGTAGGCCGAAGGACGGTAGGCCGAAGGACGGTAGGCCGAAGGACGGTAGGCCGAAGGACGGTAGGCCGAAGGACGGTAGGCCGAAGGACGGTAGGCCGAAGGACGGTAGGCCGAAGGACGGTAGGCCGAAGGACGGTAGGCCGAAGGACGGTAGGCCGAAGGATGGTAGGCCGAAGGACGGTAGGCCGAAGGACGGTAGGCCGAAGGACGGTAGGCCGAAGGACGGTAGGCCGAAGGACGGTAGGCCGAAGGACGGTAGGCCGAAGGACGGTAGGCCGAAGGACGGTAGGCCGAAGGACGGTAGGCCGAAGGACGGTAGGCCGAAGGACGGTAGGCCGAAGGACGGTAGGCCGAAGGACGGTAGGCCGAAGGACGGTAGGCCGAAGGACGGTAGGCCGAAGGACGGTAGGCCGAAGGACGGTAGGCCGAAGGACGGTAGGCCGAAGGACGGTAGGCCGAAGGACGGTAGGCCGAAGGACGGTAGGCCGAAGGACGGTAGGCCGAAGGACGGTAGGCCGAAGGACGGCAGGCCGAAGGACGGTAGGCCGAAGGACGGTAGGCCGAAGGACGGTAGGCCGAAGGACGGTAGGCCGAAGGACGGTAGGCCGAAGGACGGTAGGCCGAAGGACGGTAGGCCGAAGGACGGTAGGCCGAAGGACGGTAGGCCGAAGGACGGTAGGCCGAAGGACGGTAGGCCGAAGGACGGTAGGCCGAAGGACGGTAGGCCGAAGGACGGTAGGCCGAAGGACGGTAGGCCGAAGGACGGTAGGCCGAAGGACGGTAGGCCGAAGGACGGTAGGCCGAAGGACGGTAGGCCGTAGGACGGTAGGCCGAAGGACGGTAGGCCGAAGGACGGTAGGCCGAAGGACGGTAGGCCGAAGGACGGTAGGCCGAAGGACGGTAGGCCGAAGGACAGTAGGCCGAAGGACAGTAGGCCGAAGGACGGTAGGCCGAAGGACAGTAGGCCGAAGGACGGTAGGCCGAAGGACGGTAGGCCGAAGGACGGTAGGCCGAAGGACGGTAGGCCGAAGGACGGTAGGCCGAAGGACGGTAGGCCGAAGGACGGTAGGCCGAAGGACGGTAGGCCGAAGGACGGTAGGCCGAAGGACGGTAGGCCGAAGGACGGTAGGCCGAAGGACGGTAGGCCGAAGGACGGTAGGCCGAAGGATGGTAGGCCGAAGGACGGTAGGCCGAAGGACGGTAGGCCGAAGGACGGTAGGCCGAAGGACAGTAGGCCGAAGGACAGTAGGCCGAAGGACGGTAGGCCGAAGGACGGTAGGCCGAAGGACAGTAGGCCGAAGGACGGTAGGCCGAAGGACGGTAGGCCGAAGGACAGTAGGCCGAAGGACGGTAGGCCGAAGGACGGTAGGCCGAAGGACGGTAGGCCGAAGGACGGTAGGCCGAAGGACGGTAGGCAGAAGGACGGAAGGCATGGAATTATTTTTTCACTATCAGACAAAGGTAGATTTGAAGACCTTAATCGTAAAAAAATAAGCATTTCAAGGCCAAATTCGGTCGAATTTGATACTGGGATTGAACCCAAATTTGGGTCGTTCTCATTGGCCGTACACCTTTATAATTTGACAGAGTAAATGAGGGAATCGTGTATTCCTGCTTGGGGGCTTGGGTCTGGTGCTTTTTAAAAGATTAAGCATATTTTTTCGAGACCCGCTGGTCTTAGTGTTCGTATATGGGCAAAGGATCTACAATGGCAAAATCTGACTAAAAGCAAGGCATGCCAACCAAGTAACCAAAAGTTCTGATAAAAGGGGCTTAAGCAGCTTAGTTGAAGGTAGTCTATAGAATTCTAAGCAGCCTCTTTTTGAAAGTCCCAGTACCATAATTTGTAAGTAACGGCTTACCTGCCAGCCTATAGCTGGCCCGATTTTTTCCCGGCGGGGAACAGTCTGTGCGTGAAACTTGGTGAACATTTCCTTACCCTTTCACTCCTACGAAAATCCCATATGATTCTGTCAATCTTTGCATGAAGAAACGGCGGCTTGCTGGAGGAATGAAGAGATAAGACAAAGTCCGCTAGATTTCATGCATAGATTTTCAGATGCTTATGGGATTTTACCAGGAATTGCAGAATCGCCGTCATCGTCAATGCTTACAAACGTAAACAATTACTTTTTTGCGTGAATTTCTCGAAAATGAAAACTCAGTCAAGAAATGCAACACCATGATTGTGTACAAAAAGAGTCCTCCTATCCGATAAAATTAGTGGCTTACTTGGATTGACTTTGACGTACGAGAAATTTACGAAAGAAGCCATTATTTATGTTTTCGACATTGATCCTTATGAATGCTCAGTGTCAATATCACGAAAATTTTATTTTGACAGATCGATGTCCAACTATGAGTGTACCCCATTAGGCATAAATACGTTAGGCATACGGACGTTAGGCATACGGACGTTAGGCATACGGACGTTAGGCATAATGGACGTTAGGTATAATATACGTTCGGCATCATGGACGTTAGGCATAAAATACCAAGCTGCATTCCAATGAAAACTCAGCATAGTTTTGACTATATCTTGAAGTCAATCGCATCTAGAAATAAAACATCACACATTTGTTGTAATATATTCTTACACACATTGTCATTGTCAAAGAAGAAAAGGTTTTCCTCAAAGAACAGCTCATGAAATAAAGAATGGTGAATTCTGTGATTTTCCATTCAATAACAAAAAACAGTTGAATAAAATATGATGCCAAAGAACAGCTCATGAAATGAAGAATGGTGAATTCTGTGTTTTTTTCATTCAATAACATTAAAACATACCTGCTGCTTCCAGGATTTCCTGCCATACTTTTTGATACAACGATTCTGTTTTTGTTGTAATCAGAATGAAAACTAGCAGAACCATCTGCTGATGTGAGGGAGCGATACTTCCATGAACAGATACTTTGCCTGTCCAAGACGTCGCAGGTTTTCATGAGTTCCAAAAATTAAGGCTCTTTCATTATTGTCACCGAAGTCAGCAATCAATAGACGGTCCCCATTATCATCCTTCTGGAATTTATCGGGTAGATTATGCCTAACGTCCTTTATGCCCAACGTCCTTTATGCCCAACGTCCTTTATGCCCAACGTCCATTATGCCTATCGTACATTATGCCTAGCGTCCGTATGCCTAACGCCCGTATGCCTAACGACCGTATGCCTAACGTCGTGTACCCTTCCAACTATGCCAGTTATACCACTGAGGTAAAACAAAAAAGGGATCAGCTTTGAGTCAGCTTTTTGCATGAAGTTTCACATATGTTATGTGCTTGCCCCTAGGCATTAGTAGTAGTAGATGAATTTTAAATTGGTGTTTGCCCGCACTTGTGGCGCAGTGGTAGCGTTCGTAGATCGCATGCCGAATCGAATACACGCTGCTCTTTAATTTTATTTTTTTAATGTTTGGATAGATTATTGATGCACTGCACAAGTATAAGAATTATGATTTATTTGAGCCACTGGTCATTTCATATTTACGTACATTAAATTTTGTTACTAATAAAGACTTGTGCGGATTGTTTCATTTGGGCTTTGACGGACCTTTTTAAAAACTTTAAAGTTTTAAAGTGTTTGGAACTTTGTTGCCTTGCCTGAAGTGCTTAGGGATGCTGCTTGTTTTTTTTTTAACTTCTAGTTGCTAAGAGTACGGATCGGAAGTTTTTGGAGCCTGAAGTTCCTCGTGTGCTTCTACAGCTTCTAAAGTAGCCAGAAAGTTCTGTCGGAACTTTATTTGAACTTTATGGAACTTGACAGCTCTTTCGGATTTTATTTGGACTTTAATGAACTTGAAAGTTCTGTCAAAACTTTATATGAAATTTATGGAACTTGAAAGTGAATTTTATCGTTGAATGCCAAATTTTTGGTTGCTTGTAAACGAGCACTTTGCCTGTCTCCCAGTTCCATCAATTCCGGATGTAACAATCCAAGCATTTAATCACCGTTGTTCAACCTGACAGCTAGCTGCAGATTAGGGTAAAACCCCAAGCTTCTTATCGCCTATTTTATTCATTAACATGATTCCCTGCCACCGAAACAGTGTACGTATACCAATCGAAACCCGAAAGATGACAGCGCATCTGAAACAACGTCAAAAAAATGGTCACATTCCCTCCACTCCAGCAGCACTATCTAATACGAGAACCCACTCGTTTCACGGTTATCTTATCGATCGACCTGCAATCAATAATGACTCACTTCCCGCTCAATCAACAATTAATTGCCTATACTCGTCGTCGAACCACTCAGGTTTTCGATCAGGTGCAATCGATATCGGACCATCCCTAGAACCACCCTTGAAGAGCCCTAATATCGAGTGTGGTAGTTACCGCTTCCAGTTAGAACTTGGTCAACTGTCAGCTTCTATACCGCTGCCAACATGTTCGACGCAATTCAACCCGATGTTTGCACCTGTTCACTGAAAAACAAACAGCTACAACAACCCGGACCATTGGTACAGGCAATCAAGCCGGAATTTTATCAACCCGCAGCCAACTGATACGAGCAGTAGACATAGCACATACCTACTGATTGGTGATTACACTCCATCGGTAACCATTTCCCCAATCAAATGGCTCTTTAGTCGACAGGCGACAGCCGATCCGGTATCATTTCCAATCAATCGTGGCCGTACTGCGGTTCCAAAGCGCGCGGTGTGAAAAACTAGAACTTCTGCTCCAGTCAGTATCCCGTCATGTAGAACAAACGGTACGCGGTAGTTGTCAAAGCCGAGAAATAGATGATTTTGATTGATGTGAGATGGAAGAAACATTTCGCAGCCTAATCGCAATTCAATCATTCATAAGTAAAGCTAAAGCGAACAATGGCTTGTGTCCCGGATCAAAATTTATCCCCGAAAGCCACCAATTTCATCGGATTGAGGGACTTTTGCCCCAACACGATGACGTTGGTGGTTTTCTCGGGCATGTTTTCAATTTTCGAATAATTTATGAATCTTTTATGGAAGAAGACCGTCGAATCGTCCAAAAGCGGTGCGTCAAAATACGGATGTTTCATTAAAAAAAGGTGCTAGGTGCACTGTAAACAGCATGCGATCAGTTGTGACCAGCGGCCACCAAGAGGTGGCGCTTGCACTAGTGACCAGCTTGACAAGTGATTGAGCTTGTTTGTCAAATTAACAAGTGCGTTGATATCATCGGAACGATGATAACAGTGATTCATTGATCGGCTTCAGTTTTATAGAAAATTTTTGTGAAGTGAAGCTAATGAGAAAGTTTATTTTAGTTGAAGATCTGTCAAATCTACGAGGTGAACTGCAGGCTGATTACAATACAGAGGAATTAAGTTGGGAAAGTCGAAAGTCGAGTTTACAAAGTGAATGCTGAAAACGAAACGAGTATCTTCGTGTGCTAAGTGCAGAGTGAAATATTATTACATTTAAAGATTAATTCGGTGCAATTGAGGAAACATTTCAGCTGAGAGAAATCAACTACAATCCACGATACATGCTGTTAATGCTGACATCATCATGACCTGGAAGAAGTGCAAAACGACGGTAAGTTATAGCGAAGACAACAAATCAAGAAGACTGGAAACTCTTCCATTTTCTCATATGAATGCTATGATACAGGTACAATCGCGTCATCTGCGGCTTAAAGGTAAATGCTTCGATTGAGTTTAATAGCAAACAAAGGTTTGCGTATTTGCTCATTTTTCTATGCGTTGCTTCCACCTTCACTCAAGCGCAGCGCTACTGTATCTGTCGCTTGGATTCTGGCAAAGTTGCCAGTCTTCTTGATATGATGTCTTCGGTTATAGAAAATCTTTTGCCTGGCAAGTTTGACTGTCTGCACAGCGAATGAGAACGACCCAAATTTGAGTTTAGTTCAGTCATAATCGCAAAAAGTGCAGGAACTCAGTTCATTAGTTCATTTGCCTGATTTATGAGTTTGTAACCTAACGATAAACACGTGATTTACTTTTCCCCTTGTAAATACCCTAATAAACAAATTCCATAAACGAACGGTACCCGAATGGTAGAACTATCCTACAAATAACTTGGATAATACTCCAAACACTTCTTCAAGCTCTTTCTTATGGTTATTTGTATTAGGGTAGTTTATTTGTTCTTTTATAGAGATTAGTGACGTTTAACGCACGCACACCCAGCGGGTGTATCGCCGTGTAAAGTTGTTTATTGTTTTCCTCTGATTAACCCAATTAAAATGTAATGAAATTAGATCTGTCAAAATGAGTTTGATAGTGATTTGTTATGTATTTTCTTTGGATTGTCACTAACACGCTCTCACAAATAGCACCAATACAACCGGACGTGAAAATCTCTATGATCCGTAAATCCTTCCGCCGGATAATTTCAGTTTACGGTGCCCAGTAAAGTTGTTTAGTGAAATTATGGCTGAACCGGTTCCTACTCCTACTTTTCGACTGAACAAACTTTACCGCTTGGAAGTTCCGAATGCGCGTTTTGCTGGAATTGTAAACCGTACCGTAATCGAGAGAGCAAGTCGTTCTGGGTTCAGACTGTTCAAACCGCTGCGTACCGTGTAAATAGATCACCAACAAGTTCGATTGACTCGGCTAGCTTTGGGAAGGTAGCCGACCGGATGTATCCAATCTTTGGAAATGTGCTTTCTACGTGCACGTCCCGCACGAGCGCCGTAAGAAGCTAGACGCGAAGGCATGGAAGGGCCTTTTCGTTTGCTATATAATCTCAAGGTAGAATCAATCGTGGTTGCCGCGATGTGGGTTTTCTGGAGCAGCAGGCATTCGGTGAAGTGAATGCGACGAATGTGTCAGTGATTACTGTCAGTGGACTTTAAATTGATAGCGGTGACGATGGGTTGAAGGTGAGCGCTCGAGTGAATCTGACTATGAAGAAGAAGCAGATGAACAGTTCATGAGCTGCTTGTATCAAGACAATTATATGGATGATGAAGTTGAAAGTGAATAGAGTGGGCGACCAGCCCGGACCGAAATACACCGCCTTGACATAGACACTATGAAATGGACTACACCGGTGTCGCATCGACGACCATCATAATAAGTTGCTGCAACTTGATTGTGACTGAAATAAGTGGCATACAAGTAACCACAACTGCTGCATGGGCATATATCTGGAAAAGCTAATATCGCTGATCCTTTGTCAAGGCTGCCGAGATTTGAAGAATGTTCCACGTACGATCAAAATGGAGAATCGATGCTTCGTGCCGTTTTGGAGTCAGCTACACCAACTGCTCTGACAACAAAGGAACTGGTTGAAGCAACAGTTAAGGACAGTGAGCTTACTGTAGTCAAGGAGGCGTTGAACACTGGCCGATGGTTGGACAAGCTGAAGCAGTATTTTGCGTGTCGTGAAGAACTAAGCGTTGTGAACGAGATTTTAATGAGGACTGACCGAATCGTAGTACCGGAGAGTCTTTGTAAACGTATACTGAAGCTGGATCACATTGGTCACCCTGGGATTGAGAGAACGAAGCAGCGGATCCGGGGACAAGTTTGGTGGCCGGACGTTGATAAGGAGGTTGAAAAGGCAGTAAAAGCGTGTCTGGAATGTCAGTTAGTCAGTACTTCGGCACCTCCAGAACCTATGTCTGTGAGGGAACTTCCACAACAGCCGTGGCAGGTGCTTGCAATGGACATGTTGGGACCGCTTCCTTCGGGCAACTCAGTCTTAGTTGTGATCGACCTGTATAGCCGTTATCGTATAACCGAGATTCTTCGAACAACAACAACCGATGACATCATTGAGAGACTGGATAAAGTTTTTATGCGAATGGGTTTGCCTGCAGTATTATTAGCCGATAACGCACAGAACTTCTCAAGGCGAAAAATGGAAGAATTCTGTGCTAGGTTTGGGATCGAACTGAGGCACACTACTCCGTATTGGCCTCAAAGTAACGGAGAGGTTGAGCACCAAAACCGATTCATTTTGAAAACACTGAGAATTGCGGAACTGAATGGCACTGACTGGAAGAAGAACTTGCAAGAAGCTAACTACGTGTACTCTCTTTTGCGCCATCCAGCAACCGCTCGTTCACCGGCAGAGTTGGTCTTCGGGAGAAAGTTGCGAGATTTGATTCCCCAGCTGGCAGTGAACACAAATGAGGGCAGTGACAGCAGAGACTATGACAGGATTTATAAACAGTCAGCAAAAACTTGGTTTGATAATAAACACAATGCCCAGGAGTCGGATCTTCAGGTTCAGGATCGAGTCTTGATGCGGAACTTGTTGCCGCAGAACAAGTTGTCGTCGATGTATCTTCCGGAGCCAGCAGTAGTTGTGGATAGGCAAGGGAATAGTGTGACAGTTCAAACGGATGACGGTCGGCGATACCGAAGAAATTCTGCGCATCTGAAGAAGTTCGTTGACAGTCGGCAAGATGAAACCGTTCGATAGGATACATCGGATGAACCAACTTCTAGTGATTGGGCTACACCCTTTTCCTATTCGCAAGCTTATTCTAGCACGCCAGTTACCGGAAGCTACAAGGGAGTTCGTGATGAGGTGGTTGGTCGTCCAAAGCGAGATATCAAGCGTCCTCTGCGTTTCGAGGATTACGAAGAATTGGATGGGTGAAATAGTACAGTGAGCAATTACATCGCAGAAAGAGGAGTGTGTTATATTGTATTGAAATTAAACTGGCAACACGGAATCTGACATCGGGAAATAGGGCGGGGAGAAAGAGGAAGAAAACTAAACGAAGTTAAACCAAATGGTTGAGTGTTCTATTTCTTGGGAAAATAATTAAATTCTTATCGAGTTTTTCTGGTTACAACACCCTTTTTGGTCAATCGCGTAGCCGATGAACGTAAGCTTTCTTGCCTTGCTGTCCATTTTCTTTCGTTTGGTATCCGGCACGTGTACAAACGCTTCACTTCCAAACACCCGGAGATGGCTGAGATCAGGTTTTCTTCCCCACCAAAGCTCATAGGGAGTCTTCCGGATGGATCTGGAGGGAAGCCTATTTTGAAGGTAGGTTGCAAAGAACCGGTGCGTTGAAGTTAAAATGCAATCAAAAGTACTTAAAGTAATTAATGCGTTTTGAAGTAGTACTGACGGTAATTAAAATTATCGATCCGTAATTAATGTAATTAATAGTATTGAAAACGTAATTAATGTACTTTAATTACGAAATTTTGACTGTAATTAATGGAGTTAAAAAGTAGGTAATGTTCTACATTGTGTAATCAATGTAATTCAAGCAGTAGTTAATGGAATTAATTTAATTACAGCCGTTACCTGCGTTGAATTTAAAGGCTATTGCGTGCCTCTAGCGTAAACAGTACCACTGAACTGTCATCCGATTGAGGTCAACCCCGGCGGTGCAAAACCTAATTGATCCAACCTGGAGAACCGAAGTCATTGTGAGGTGAAGCAGTGATGAATTAGCCTTAACAACAGTGCCAAAGTTACGTTTCTTCACAACATGTTTGACAGTTCTCTATAAGTGGAGTGAGAGAATAAGAAAAAGTCCTCACTACTTGACTAGCCTCCCAACTAACAATTTTAGCTGCAGCTTAGCTTATACAGCCAAAAATTGGCTTATACAGCTAATTTTTGCCTGTATAAGCTAGTCTGCAGCTAAAATTGTTTGTTGGGCTATTGGTCCCAAGCAAATCGATTAACGTATCCCATTCTAGTCGAACTTCTAGTACTACACTATGTTTGTTTTGAATCCGTATGAAATTTTGACAGATAAAATGAGGGGCTCGTGGATTTTCCTATGTTTCGAGGGGTGCATCGATTAGCCTGGGACCTCGGCTGGGACCGAAGAGAGTACCAGAGCTGAGCCAAAAAGTTGAGCACGTTTCTTCGGGACCTTCTGGTATTAGAGTTACCACTATGGTAAAACCCCAGCGGAAATGTGGCATAAGGTGATCCAAGAGACGTTTCTCAGTGTAACTGACAGCTGGAAATCTAGAGTGTGTAAGTGATCTGGTGTTAATGGTGCTTAATGTAAACATAAACAAAGCAAAAATTCATATGAGAATAAACTGCCAGTTCTACTGTGATGCGTCAAAAGCTCTTGATAATCAAAAAAGTCAGCTGATCGCAACTCACACCGTTATTGATGAATTTACGTTACGGTCGACCAGCAGATGGAAATGATGAGAAAATGATAATGACGTTTTGCTACCTGTCAAATCGTATGGAATATTTTTTAGTACATCATCACTTTTGTGGTTTTGGATTTCAAACCTAGGTGTCGTTTCGCGTAGATTCATCAATTCAGTGCCAACATTTCAAAGTGGCGTAATTGCATTTGTAAACAATGGCTTTAGCCATAGATTTCTCGCAAATAAAAGCTCACTCATGAAAAATAATAACACAAAGATCGAGAACTTGCGTTTCTTTGGATGTATAACACATTCGTGGATTACGAAGCAGAAACGAAGCAAGTTATATCCTACTTGTCAACGTTCTGTAATGCTTAGGTACGCACCAAGATGTAATCGGTTTTTGAATCAGCCTTTTTACATATTGTACTGTTAACAAATTCTATTGCTATTCTTATAGGAATTTTAATCAGCTACAACTTTGCACAAAATCGTTTTTCAGCCAAACGTCAAATTTAATAGTTATTAATTGTTTAAGAGATTGATAATCTTATCGCAAGATTAAGCAACTGTATTGTGGGCAACACTTTATTCTGCAATGTGACATAGTAGCCATGATTTTTGTCCTCTATTCTTCGCACCAGAAACACCAATGTTGCCTGCTGAACAGTTGAATGAGCATAATCATAAGACATCAGTGACTTGAATCATTAATGACTTTTGTTCCTTACATTTGATCGAAAAGTGGTCTTCAACAAAGTTGAAGCTGAGAAAATTTTCAACAACTCAGCTAAAGTAGAGTGAACTGGTGAATTTTGAGATAGATATGAATAGAAATTATGGTTTCTTCATAGTAATTCTCATATAAATTTCAAATAGTTTCTCACTATATGAGTTCAAATTTTATGAGGCTAATCAGGGCCCAATTTGGAACCGTTTGAGCACTGTGGAGTGAAAATTTCAAATTTTGCATCAGTCTATTGGGTATCTATCGAGGTTTCAAGGCTGAAACTAATGTTTTGCCCGACAACAACTCAGCAGCACGATACTTCTTGAACTGTGTCTCAGAGTCAGCGCACTACTGGGCAAACTGGAGTGGCTACGCGGACGAAAAGGCACTCAAGCTTTCAATTAAACCGAAACACAGCGCGGATCTACTTTAACACTGTATTTTCTCCATTTAACAATAGTGTGGATTGTGTGGTGTTGTGACCGATTTCCCTGGCACATACCCTTGTTGACGATGGCGACTATGACGACTGCAGATCAGCGAACGCTCGCTGTGGTTCCGGAATGATCCTGTCGATGGCGGATGATTAAAGGCCGATCTTGTCGGCAAGATGGTGGTACCACCGCTCGATGAAATTCCGGTAAAATTCCGACAATGGCGGACGAAGCGAGGCTGACCGAACGTCGGCTGTAGTGCGATGGCGGGTTCGTTTTACCGGGGCTGGTATAGCGGTTTGTGGAGATGATTCCGATGCACAGGCGCTTCCTTCTGACGAAGCCGGTCGACGACGGCAAGGCCACCCTCTGTCGAACCGGGAAGGGAAATTCTCCTTGGCGTTTAGGACCTTCAGCTCAAGAACGATGTCCTTTACGTTTAGGTCAAGGTAACTCAATGTCACCTAGACCACAGAGTGCAATGGCGGTCCTTGACTCGGAACCAGAAAACCATTTGATTGGTTGAAAAAGAAAAGTCCTGAATCAGCTGAATTGGCGATTTACACTTCAGCTTGATTCACTACTCGCACTGTATTCTGTTAAAGTGAATTCCACAGACACTTCTGGTCTACACGCTCGCCTGAGATAAAGTCAACGATGGCCATTCTATAAGCATCGCAGAACCCTTCAGCTCATCACCCGTGACTCCGTGTCACTATTTTGCCGCGGCCATGCGCGCCTTATTCAGCAGCCGGCCGTTAAGCATGGCCGTATCGTCTGCCCAGTGGGTGCTCGATCACATGGTGCATATTTAAAATATTGTATTGGACCTTTGTAACAGAACGGTTACAAGACACAGCAAGTCTAGAACACTGGCAATACGCAAGGCGAGTCTTAAGGTACGTTCAGGGTAATAGACATTCGGAGATGCCGACTACGCCAATGATGCAATAAGTGCGAGATGAATCCAGTTGGTCTAGTTACATTCCGACGAAACAACAAGAAGCGGACATGCTGACAAAATCTTTGGCGGTCCCATCGGTCCTGATTCTACGCAGAAAATTTGGATTAGAAGCAGTGTTGTAAGCGGTTACCGTAGTCGACGCATTTTCTTATGTTAATCGGCTGCCATTGCTTCCGCCACTTGCAAAACAAGCTATCAAAGTACAGTACCAACATAAAATAAAAAATGATGAAATATGTCTCTTTCCGCCGAAAAGCGTCACGTATTTATGCATATTAATTTTTCTCATAATAAGAGCTGCTCATGTTGTGGAAATCCACATTTATTATATCATTTTGATCAATAGTGTTGAACTCAACATCTTCTAAAGCCAATTTTTCTATCTTATTCCAGTGGCTGCTTCTACTAACGACCCTCTTCTCTCCAAACTTCGCCTTTGTACTACCTGGAGAATGGGACGAACCATACTTCACGTCTCTCGTACCGGACAAGGTCATCATTGGCCCTTACGATCAGATCCTAAGAGAGCAAAGCATCTCGATGTGGGAGGAAATGCTGCCTCCGATTCGAATCCTCCAGGTCAACTACAAAGGTTCGAATATCAAAATCCAGACTATGCCATCCCATCTCGGGGCTAAGTTGATCCACGAGAACGGCAAGTGGTACATTGACGTCAACAATCGAATGGATTTTGAACAATACAGCCATCGGTTGTCACTGCTAACCTTGCTGGTGGAAAATGACGTGAAAAACACAGTTACAGTGGCGATTAGGTTAATCAACATCCTAGACAACGCTCCGTCCATGACCAGTGAGGGACCCTGCAAGGTACCAGAACATAAGGAAAGCTTCCTATCAGATTGCAGCTATAAGGTTTATCATGGGGACGGTTTCGTTACAAACGAAATCGAAGGGAAATACACGAATCGTTTGGATTTTGAGCTGCCAGATGAGGAAGCTGAGTTTTTCGAAATGAAAGAAGTAATGCTAATCGATGATTACAATAAACGGTTCCAGTTGTGGTGAGTTCAGCGCGTTAATTGCAACTTTGGCCGTTGGTTCAAATATGACGAATAATTTCTTCCACAGGGTACTAAAAGAGCTAGACTACACCCAGCAAGCAATGTTCAATTTCCCAGCAACGGTGTTCGACTTCAATCGAACCAACAATTTCACATTGAACATTGTCGTGCCGGTCCAGAACGTCGAAAGTCGACCACCGATCTTCACCCGCCCGTTCACAACGCGTCGCATCCCGGAGAAGGCTCCATTCAGCACGGTGATCACTGCCATCGACGGTGACACGGGGTTGAACTCTCCAATTTGCTATGAACTGGTAACCGAAAATGAAGCTCGTGAGTATCCTGCAAGGGTCTCAATGTAACTACAACAACTGAACGTTACTCTATTGCATTGTATTTCCTCTAGACACCAAGTACTTCAGTATTGAGTTAGATGACAGCGGAAAAAACGGGAACCTGTTGGTGGACTACATCGATCGAGATGAGGAAAAGAACGAATTCTATCAATTTACGGTAACTATCCCCAATGCAGTAGTTCAAGATTCAATAATTGATCGTATATTGTCCCTTCACAGATTAATGCTTTCAAATGCCACAACCGGCTATTCAACACCACCAGTGAGGCAGCAATCATTCTCGACGACATCAACGACCACGCACCGACGTTTGACGTCGAACCAGACCGGTTGATCATCCGGGAAAACACCCTAATGGAACTGCCACTGGTTCGATTCAACATCGAGGACGTAGATTTGGTGAGCCTGATTGAAAATTCTCATAAGTAAAGATTATCGTAGAGCGGTAAATCACGTACATATTGTCGGTCGGAGATTCGATAGAATCTCGGTCGGAGATTCGATAGAATCTCGGTCGGAGATTCGATAGAATCTCGGTCGGAGATTCGATAGAATCTCGGACGGAGATTCAATAGGGGCTTTAATAACGCTCACCATCCCACTCGCAGGGCAACCACGCAACCTACGACGTTAGTCTTCAGGAAATTGTCCCCGGAGCGGAAACCTTCAGCATCATCCCGAGCAGTGGTTACCAGCTGGCTTCGTTCACACTAACGATCGTAAACGCTTCCCAGCTGGACTACGAACTGCCCGAACGGCAACGGTTCAATCTGATCGTTACGGCTACCGAGGCGGCAAACTCTTCCCACACCAACCAGCAGATCCTGGCCATCGAGCTGCTCAACTGGAACGACGAAGTACCGGCATTCGATAAGGATATCTATGAAGTTTCCATCGATGAAACCATCGGAAAAGACGTCGATCTGTTGACGGTACATGTTACCGATCGGGATATCGACGACAGCGTCCAGCTACAGATTTTGAGCCGGATCGGCGATGATCTGAATGTTACGGTAGTGAACAATTCCGTTCATGATTTCCCAATTCCAACATTCAGCTTCCGAATCAGCACTGCACGGGAGGGCATCTTCGACTGGGACGTAGCTCAAGAGGTCATCGTCCAATTACAGGCAGAGGATACGCTGCAAACCGATGAAAGAGATCCGCTGCACAAAGTGTTCGCCCAGGTTGTAATTACGGTGCGGGATATCAATAACAAACCACCCTCGATCGCGGTTGTAAGTAGAGCGAAAGGTTTTCGTTGGTTAATGGTTGTTTACATTTGTTTTTGATTCTCAGCCTAGAGGAAGGATCCACATCGAGGAAAACTCGGAACCGAATACGGTTGCGAAGATTGGAGATGCCGAAGATGCCGAAGATGCGATTCTGATCGGAACCGATCCCGACTCGGATGCAGATCTTAAGTTCAGCATCGATTGGCAGAGCAGCTATGCCGTCAAAGGGGGTACGTCAGTCGACCCGGAAGTTTTTAAAGAGTATGTATTCTTGGAAATCCAAGGCAATTTGTCATTTATCTTCAAGTTGGTCTCCATTTGCAGTTGTCTGGTCATCGAAGTCGATTCTAGCAATCGAAATCGTGTCACGGGAAAAATTCGGGTAAATCCGGAACTAGATCAGGAAACCATCAACCAACGGTTGGACCACGAAGCATACGAGACGCTTTTCCTCACTATTCGGTTGGTCGATGAGAAACAGGTCATTTTACCAGGCGATACGGAAGCGATCGTAGTGCTTCAGATCGATAACGTCAACGATAATGAACCGGAATTCGTCGGAAATACGTTGGCCGTGGAGCGGTTTGTCATGGAAGAAGCCGAAACGGGAACCATCGTCGGAAGTATCGTGGCTATTGACAGAGATGGAGACGAAATCACATATACGATCACGTATGTAGACGATTGTTTTGTTGAATGCACTTTAAAATCTAATGCCATTTATACAGCGCAGAGAATCCCGATCAAGAAGGACTCATTGCGATCGGTTCCACCGGAATGTTGACTGTAAACGCAACGGAAAACACCATTGATTGTGACGTACCAAAGACTTACAAGATCCCTCTTCTGATTACCCTGACTGACGGAGTTTACGTCACGAACGGTTCCATTGAAATCTTCATTACCGACACCAACAACAAAATTCCAAGCTTCAGTTCGGGCATCCCTTCGCAAGTGTTGATTTTCGAAAAATCCCCATCCGGCACGGAGATCCTTCAGCTTAACGTAGAAGATCTTGATCGAGACGAACCGTTTGACACGGTAGGATTTGAAATAGACTTCCGAACGTTCCCGGATTTGCAAAACTACTTCGAAATAAGTCGTTTGGTAGACGACTCCGGCGAACGGTTGAATCAATCCGGACTGGTTTTGGTCAAAGATAACAACCGACAGCTAGATCGGGACACCGGTACGGATCGATTCACGATCAACGTCAAAGTACAGGACAACAACGGTGGTACGGGTCGACGAAATTCGAACGAAACAAGCTTCTCGTTGATTCTGTTGGATATCAACGACCATGAACCGGTTCTGCCAGCGTTGCCGGAACTGAAGCTGTCCGAGGACACCAAAAAGGGAACGGTCCTGGTCGACCGGTTCGAAGCAACAGATTTGGACGACCCTAACACACCGAACGCACAGATCAACTACCGAATTATAAAGATCGAGGCAGGTGAGTCCATCTTTGACTTATACTACATTACTTCACGTATTGAGCGGCAAAAACCTCACCATCCAGAAGCCGTACAAATCAGGGACTTTAACTCGATGCTTGTATATTTGCTTTAAGCACGAAGTTTCGTAGAGGAAATTACTTCCAACGTTGCAAGGAGGTTTGTTCCAACTTTCCTCTGGTTTTTTCTACTGATTTCACCCGGAGGATTCTTCCACCGTCCACTAAAAGTTTGCTGGAAGTAACTTCAAAGTTTTTTTTTCAATTTCCCTCGAATCTTTCTGCACACTTCCTCCGGAGGTTTCTTCAAACTTTCCACGGAAGCTTTATCTGCCGTCACCCGGGAGTTTCCCGCAATTTCCCACAGTGTCTGGCTCAGAAAGGTTTCTAATCTAATCTAATATAACACCCACACAGCCAGTTCATGAAAGCATCCTGGAAAATGATAGATACACCTTCATCCTTTTTCTTGTCTATTTGGTATATTTTGTACATCAAAAATGCGCAAAATATATCAAAACGGCCAGGCCTACTGTCATTGGCGTAGCTCATGGGGGTGCCAGAGGGGCCAAGCCCCCTCCAAAATTATCTAAGCCCCCAGAATTTTTGGTGTTTTGACGTAAGACTACGTCTGTGATTTCTATACTTTACTACACTTTATGAAAACCGAAAATGGAACATGTAACAAAATTATGAAAGATTTTGAATGTTAATAGCTCAGCTACCCCTGGACCAATTTCAATAATTTTAACACCAACCGATCAGAAATATTCCAATGCATCTGTTAAATGTTAGACTTTATCGTTTTTAAAAATTGCACGAATGTGCAACTGTTGCTTTGATAGTTAAAATTATCACCGATTGCCTGCGAAAAGCGATTTCCCTAACACAGATTTCAAAGTTGAATTCCATCCGGTCTCACCGAACGTTGTTTATTCAATCACCGCGTGGTGAGTGGTGGTGTTCTCGAGTACACAACGAAATTATAACCGCAAGCAACTAGCTATCAAGGCTGCCCACAACCGCTAATCGGCTTCAGTTCCAATCACCGTGTGTGGTGGTGTCCGGTTGTCGACATCAGCAGCAACAGTGCTTTCGGCGCGTGGCGTTGAACATTGTTCCCCAGTACACAACAAAACGCTGCCTGCAAGCAGTGAGCTGCAGCCCACATTAGCATCCATAGACGGAAGAAGAAGCCACACCGCTATTGATCGGAATCAGTAGCTCTTCGTGAGTCGCTGTGGGCCATCTATGCCAAGCGCGTCATACTAAAGAGTATAAACAGAGAGAACCCCGCTCAAATTCCTATTCCTACACTAAACACAAGCTCCTATGTTTGTATAAAACCACGTAGTCCTACGTCACTATAGCGAACAACCCCATAGGGCTGTCCATTGCATTTTTTTTTACTCACCGGCATTTTGTCAAGCTTGTTAAGTACGATGATACTACTTAACAGTGATTAATAAAATTGGACCATCAATAAAGATTGTTTTAAAGTTCTTTATGTTGCCCAAAACCAAGTAACTTTGTCGAAGACGTCAAATTTTTATCTCATCATCTACGCAGTCTACGAACTGAAACAACTAGGTTAGGGTGATTCATGAAAAAACCGTTTTTTGGACCATAACCTTTTTTGCTTTGTATTTAGAGAAAACTAGTCTTGAGAACACTTTTAAAACTTTTTAAAAACACACATTTTGATCACCTAATTATGACGTTTGGACCACTGAATCAAAAGATATAGTCATTTTTTTCTCTAAATACAAAGCAAAAAAGGTTATGGTCAAAAAACGGGTTTTTCATGAATCACCCTAACCTTCTAGTTGTTTCAGTTCGTAGACTGCGTAGATGATGAGATAAAAATTTGACGTCTTCGACAAAGTTACTTGGTTTTGCATCCTCTACAATTTTTTTTTAACTAGATCGTTTATTTACTAGGCTCAGTCGTGTGTGACACTTTGCGGAGCCAAAATCAGTAATGTTTGATTTACATTTTAAATAGCAGTATTTTTAGGTTAGTATTGGGTACCAATTACTCGTGGCGGGCTCGAGGTTAATAGGTAACAATTTCAATTGGAAGGATCTAGGTAGGAAACTGGTTTCTGAAGCCTCCTTCATATACTACTCTCGGACGGTTGACCAAATCCTGGCTGGGCAGGGGCAAGTAGCACAGGAACAGGAGGATAATAAGACTGGGACACAATGGCGGGAAATTGTTTGGAAAGGAGGGGATAGTCACATCAAACTCTAACATCAGACAAACAAAGGAATTCGTAGATCGCTTGCATGTAGGGAAGTTCACGTGTTCCCAATACATCTCTTACTTCACGGAAGGGTTGTCTACCTCGGGCCACTAGGGTATCCAATAGTTGTGCTCTGGAGGCGTCATTACCCGGGCAATACCAAACTGCGTGATCGATGTCATCATAACCGGTTCTGCACCTACATATATTGCTGTCAACGAGGTTTATTCTATAGAGATGTGCGTCTAGCGAGTAGTGGTTGGACATAAGTCTTGACATCACTCGAATGAATCCCCGACTTACATCCAGACCTTTGAACCACGCTCTCGAAGAAACATTTGGAATAATGGAATGTAACCACCGCCCAGAGAATTATTTGTCCAATCGTTTTGCCAACTTAAAAGAGAACTCTGACATACTAGCTTAGCTTAGCTTAGTCTGACTGCACGTATCGATAGTTGCACTCCGTGATTGATCTGAACCAGTGAAATTGTACAAAGAATCAACTGAATGGGGCTTGGGAGTAATTAAAAGAGAACTCTGACATACTAGTGGGAAAAACTCATCATGTGAAATTCTTCTATCATAAATCTCGCCTTGTTGTGCGCCCACCTTTGCGAGAGAGTCTGCCTTCTCATTGCCTGGGATTGAGCAATGTGAGGGGACCCATACAAAGGTAATCATATATGATCTTTCGACCAGCAAACTCATCTGTTCCCTTACCTTTGAAAGGAAATAAGATGAGTGCCTACCTTGTTTCATCGACCGAATAGCCTCAATCGAACTGAGACTATCCGAGAAGATGAAGTAATGGTCTATGGGCATATCGGAAATCATCCCCAATGCGAAGTTGATTGCTGCTAGCTCAGCAACATAAACGGAACAAGGTTCCTGAAGTTTCCGAAAGGCGGTTGAGTATTCATTGAAGACGCCGAAGCCAGTGGATCCATCAATGCGTGATCCATCAGTGAAAAATCTTCTATTGCAATTGACTTGTTGGTACTTTTCAGCAAAAATGCGGGGAATTGAGATAGGTCGAAGTTGATCTGGAACTCCTTGAATAGCCTGTTTCATGGAGAGATCATAGTCAATGGGGGAACTGTAGTTAGTAAAGCATACACGAGAGGGGTTATAGCAAGGAAGGCTAATATCCGATGACATATAATTAAGATAGATTCGCACGAATCTAGACTGGATGCTCAATTCGAGCATTTCTTCGAAGTTTTCAATCACAAGGTTGTTACTGACACTACATTTAATCAATATTCTTAATGAGAGCTCCCAGAAACGGTTCTGCAGGGGTCTTACGCCCGCTAGGACCTCTAGGCTCATATTGTGTGTTGAATGCATACAGCCAAGGGCAATACGTAAACAACGATATTGAATGCGTTCCAATTTGATTAGGTGGCTTTTTCTTGCCGAGTGGAATCAAAAAGAGCCATACTCAAGAACTGAAAGAATAGTCGTTTTATATAGTTTAATGAGGTCTTCCGGGTGAGCACCCCACCATGTCCCGGAAATTGATCGTAGAAAGTTGATCCTTTGTTGACACTTTTGTTTCAAATACGTAATATGGGTACCCCAAGTGCATTTTGAATCAAACCAGACTCCAAGGTATTTGAAGGTTAAAGATTGGGTAATGTCGCTGCCCAAAAGATTTAGACGCAGTTGGGCTGGAAACCGCTTCCTTGTAAACACTACCAATTCATTTTTTTGCTGTGAAAACTCGATCCCTAAATTTCTTGCCCAGAGAGACAGATTATTTAGGGAATTTTGCAAAGGTCTTTGCAAGATTTCTGCACGTGGACCTCTCATGGAAACCACGGCATCGTCTGCAAGCTGTCTAAGCGTGCATAGATTATCTAAGCAGTTATCAATATCTTTGACATAGAAATTATAAAGTAAGGGACTTAAACGTGAACCTTGGGGTAAGCCCATGTAGCTAATTCTAGAAGTTGTCAGTTGACCTAGATTGAAGGTCATTTGTTTTTCTGACAGCAAATTATACAAAAAATTATTCAAAATACCGGGTAATCCACTACTGTGCAAATTGTCTGACAGTATGTCTATGGAAACCGAATCAAATGCGCCCTTTATATCCAAAAAGACTGAAGCCAATTGCTCCTTGTGCGCAAAAGCCAGTTGAATATCAGATGAAAGCATCGCTAGACAATCGTTTGTTCCTTTACTCTTCTGGAAACCAAATTGCGTATTTGAAAGTAGATTGTTTGATTCAACCCAATGGTCAAGTCTTAATAGGATCATTTTTTCTAATAATTTCCTCAGGCATGATAACATAGAGATCGGACGGTAAGAATTGTGATCAGACGCTGGTTTCCCAGGCTTTTGAATAGCTATTACTTTAACCTGTCTCCTGTCTCCATGCTGGTGGAACTATATTAAATTCCATAAATGAATTATATAGGTTAAGTAATCGTCTTTTAGCGATATCGGGGAGGTTTTTTAGAAGGTCGAATTTGATCATATCGCTTCCCGGAGCAGAGTTATTCGATGAAAGAAGTGCCATTGAAAATTCCAGTATTGTGAATGGTTCATCCAGAGAACCGTTACTTCGGACTGTATCCCGTAAAGTTGGTTGTGCTGGAACAGAATCTGGACAAACCTTTTTAGCGAAGTCGAATATCCATTGGGAGGAGTATTCTTCACTCTCATTGGAAGATGAGCGGTTTTGCATATAGCGAGCCTTTTTCCAAAGCGTTGTCATCGAGGTTTCTCTAGAAAGTCCCTCGATAA